TTTCTGATCTATGATTACATATGTTGCTACATATTTATATTGTTATTTAATTTATGTATATTTATTTATTATTGTTTTTCTTATGTTTTCGTATTTCACTTAACTTAGATAATTGCTTTCTAGTATCTTGCTAATTTTGTTTCATTGTAATTATTATAATTGGCCTATGTTATTTTTAATTATGTATTGTATATCGGGTTTTTTTTAATATTTAATATATGCTTGATAAGTGATGTTCACAGATTTTTGTTCAAAATTGTGATTAAGTTCGCTTTTGTGTCCATGTTCAGTCATTCAATTTATTGTACTTGTTATGTACCACCATTGTATTGCACTTTGTTTTTTGTTGTTTTTTTTTTTTTTTGACAAATAAAGAAGAGGCATAATAAGAATTGCCAAGTTAATTTTGATCATGATAATTTGTTAAATTAAAAGAAATATAAATAGCAGAACGAGGTTTTTACCATTGAACCCAGCACGCTACCGCTGCGCTCATTCACAACGTTCATTAACTGGCATAAGGTTTGTTGATTTGTTTTGGTCAGAGAAATCGTACAATGTCGTAAGTTTTAATAATAATAAAAATATACTTATCTGAGCGAGGTTTTTAGATCCTCGGGGACCTCTAGGTTACGGGCCCAGGACGCTTCCGCTGCTTCACTCTGCTTCTTACACAAAGCCTTCCTAAACTTGCATTAGTTTCCAGAAATCAAAAAATTTTGAAAATTTTGAATGAAAGAAGTATGCTTAGCAGAGCGAGGGTTCGATCCTCGGACCTCTGGGTTATGGGCCTAGCACGCTTCCGCTGCGCCACTCTGCTTCTTACATTGACCCTTCCTAAACTTGCATTAGTTTGAGAAATCAAACAATTTCAAACTTTTTCAATAATAGAAAACATACTTTAGCAGAGCAAGGTTTCGATCATCTGTCGCGATCCTCTAGGATATAGGCCCAGCCGCTTCTGCTGCCCCTCTCTGCTCTTTATATTAACGCTTCATAAACTTGAATTAGTTTTAGATATTAAACAATTTTGAAAATTGTAAATAACAAAAGTATTTAGCAAGAGCGAGGTTTCGATCCTCGGACCTCTGGGTTATTGGCCCAGCACGCTTCCGCTGCTTCACTCTGCTTCTTACACAAAGCCTTCCTAAACTTGCATTAGTTTCAGAAATCAAACAATTTTGAAAATTTTGATTAAAAAAAATATGCTTAGCAGAGCGAGGTTTCGATCCTCGGACCTCTGGGTTATGGGCCCAGCACGCTTCCGCTGCGCCACTCTGCTTCTTACATTGACCCTTCCTAAACTTGCATTAGTTTGAGAAAGCATTAATTTGAGAAATCAAACAATTTCAAAATTTTTTAATAATAGAAAACATACTTTAGCAGAGCAAAGGTTTCGATCATCTGTCGTGATCCTGTAGGTTATAGGCCCAGCCGCTTCCGCTGCGCCACTCTGCTCTTTATATTAACGCTTCATAAACTTGAATTAGTTTTAGATATTAAACAATTTTGAAAATTGTAAATAACAAAAGTATTTAGTAAGAGCGAGGTTTCGATCCTCGGACCTCTGGGTTATGGGCCCAGCACACTTCCGCTGCGCCACTCTGCTTGTGGTACTTAAAAGTTACAATAAAAGATTCTCATTGACTTCGATGATGTCTTAATAATTACGAAAATTTTGAATAAATAGAAAACTACTTAGAGAGCGAGGTTTTGATCCTCAGACCTTTGGGTTACGGGACCAGCGCGCTTCCGTGGTAAAAATAACGCTTCATAAAACGCTTCTTATTGACTTGATGATGATATCTTAACAAATTCAAAAACATAGTTCTTAAAATATTTAGCAGGGTGAAGTTTCGATCCTCGGATCTCTGGATTATGGACTTAGCACACTTGCACTGCCCCACTTATTTATATATTAATTTTAATATGTAAACGCATCATTTGTAATACATACCGTAAATATACTTAGCAGAGTGTTTCAATATTTATGAAATAAAAATTATATGATAGTAGGCCTATCCTTACTATTAGAAAATTTGTTTAAATAATTAAAATTTATCTTCACTCGCTAAAGCAGCAAAGCTCTGGGGTGGGGCTATTAAATTTGCCTGTGTTCTTCATGTGTGTTGGTATGGATCGATGTAATATAGATGCGGAGTTGTGTAACTACGATTGGTTTCAATCTTGACAGTATAAAAATATGACAATAAAAAATAAAGCCTATCAGATTCTCTATGATAATGGTAATAGATTATTTACATAATTAATTGTAGTTTATCATTGTTTTTAAATTTTAAATTTACTCAGGGGCATTTCTGATTCCATATGCCACGATGTTGCTCTTGGCCGGACTTCCAATGTTCTTTATGGAACTATGTCTTGGTCAGTTCACCAGCAGTGGACCATGGAAGATGTCACCGATGTTCCGAGGTAAGATAAAAACATTTAATAATTATAATTGAATGCTTGAATACGTGTATGTAAACAAAATAATCTTATTATTCATTTATCTTTCATTATTTTCAATTTTTTCATAAAATATAATATATTTATTATATAAATGTATTGAATTATGTACAGTAATATTTTCTTATATTCATTCATTTACCTATCTTTTATTCCAACTACACATCCATCCATCCATCCATCCATTCATTCATTCATTCAGTAAGTCATTCTTCAATCTTTCATTCACTAATTCATTCATTCACTCATTCATTCATTCACTCATTCATTCATTTATTCATTCATCCTTTCATTCAATCATTTATTCCTTTATTCATTCATGCATTTATTCATTCATCCATCCATCCATATAGTTAGATCCCCCTATCTTTCAAACCATCAATTCATCCACCTATTCATTCATTTATTCATTCATTTTCTTCATTCTTTCATCCATCCATCCATCCATCTATCTGTCTATCCATCTATCCTTCAAGCCCTCAATTTATCCATCCATCCTTCCATTAATTTATTCATTCAACCACCCATCAACCCACCCACCCATTGATTGATTGATTCATCAGTCATTCATTCATTCATTCATCCATTTATTCATTAAGTCATTCATTCATTAAGTCATTCATTCATTCATTCATCTATCCATTCTTCTGTCCGTCCTTTCATTCATTCATTCATTCATTCATTCATTCATTTATTCATTTATTCCTTTATTCATTTATTCATTTATTCATTTATTCATTTATTCATTCATTCATTCATTCATGCATGCATGCAAACATCCATCAATTAATTTATGAATCTATCCATCCATCCATCCATCCATCCATCCATTTTCATTATGTTTATTATTTCCGTCACATTTTTTTCTTTGGTTTAACAGGCATGGGATATGGTATGGTGATGATTTCCGCGTGTATAGGACTTTACTACAACGTAATCGTAACATACACGTTGTATTACATGTTTGCGTCCTTCACCACGATGCTGCCGTGGGTGGGCTGCAACAACTCATGGAACACGGACATGTGCAACGGCTTCTACGACGAATGTCTGAGCAAAGGGGACAGTATTATGACGGTGAACAACACATGCGTGGCAGTGGCGTCTATGTCGGAGGATATGCTGGAGTATTATGGCGTCAAGTATAGTGCCATCTCGGGGCTATTGGACTTGTCCAACTACACTGACCCTCTTCAGGGTCAGAGGAGACTCCCGAGTGAAGAGTATTTCAAGTAAAGACAAACGCTTTACAATTTTGATTGGGATTTTGTTATACTACAATGCTTTAATGCAATGATGATTATGATAACACGACCGAAATAATAGCCAACCTATATTGCAATACTGAAAATATGTCCGAATATTATCTAAATAATAGGCCAACCTAAATAATATTAATGATATATATAATGCAAATAGCAGTATTATACAGATAATAATAATGATTACAATATTTAAAATAAGGAATGTAGAATAGTGAAAATGATGATGATCATAATTTAATAATACTAACACTACTACTACTACTACTACTACTACTACTACTACTACTACTACTACTACTACTAATAATAATAATAATAATAATAATAATAATAATAATAATAATAATAATAATAATAATAATAATAAAACAAACATTGACTACAACATCTATTATGTTAACTTTGTTTATATGACAATATAGGGAATCTTAACATACTTGATTATTATTTGGCATATTTATCATCATCGCCTTCATTATTATAACTGTTATTATTATTATTATTATTATTATTATTATTATTATTATTATTATTATTATTATTATTATTATTATTGCCTTTTCCCAGGAGTAGTTTGAAAAGCATTGTTTTTTTTTTTCTGGCATATTTTTTTTTTTGGCCGTCACGTTGGTCTTTTCCCATGCTTAGAATTTTTCCGTGCTTTGCCGAAGTATAGGCCATCAAGAATGTTCCTCCTAATATTTAGTGTCAATCTATGGTGTTGGGGCGGGGAGGTGTGTGCGAGGACCAATATAAAATGATTTAAGGTCAAACAGTCTACATCGGATATTTCAAAAACCGGTCAGTTGATCTGAATGAAACTTACGGGAAAGTTTAATCAAGTTACAAAGAAGAATTTTTTTTTTTATGTTATTGACGATCCAGTGAAGGGTGTAAATTTGAAGGTTTTTTTCATTTTTTGAGGACCCAGACTTAAATATCTTTTTTTAAAAGACGAATGGGTCTAAATGAAATATTCTATAATAGGCCTACTTTGTAAAGGTCTTGTAAAAAAAATGATTAAATTATTGTGCCGATTCTGAGTAGGGTGATTGGCCGAGCGGTTAAGTCAGGGGCACCGTGACCTTTAGCTCTAATATCGGCGTTGGTTCGAACGGCTCACTCGCCAATGGTTCCGGTGGTGGAACAAGTCTTCTCGAATAAGGACTTTAAACCGTAGGCCCGGTGTACGCATTTGGCTCGTGTGCACTTTAAAGAACCCGGTACATCATTCAAGAAGAGTAGGGGGTTACCCCGGTGTACTGGTCCAATAAGTACCCTGTTGTTAAATGGATATGCCACGTAAGACAGTGGTTAAGTTCACTTTTTATAGACCGGTCGGATTTGGAGGAAGGTGTCACATTTTTGCAGAATTTACCAGACCAACTTTTTCTAATGTATTTTTTGACGTAGATTACGAATCTGATTGTTGATCGGTCCGGGGAGGGGGATTTTTTGCATTATTTTACAAAAATAATGTTTTCAATGTAATTTAGGTCATAGATTCGAGAAAGAATGACAGTTGGACAGGTATGGGGTTCGTTCAAAAGTTATGGGTCAAAGTTCAAATAGAATATAATCTGAGAAGTGGTATTACAGGTGTGTGTGATAAATGTACAGAAGAAACATTTTTGACATATTTTTTGGGCTCAGAATCTAAATTTGGTTGTTAATCGGGCCAGGGAGATGATTTTAATATAGGAAAGGTCGAAGTATAAGAAGGGGTTACAAATATTCCTACCTATATCAAAATAATGTTTTACATTTGCACCACACATGCGTCAACATTTTCTTAATTATTAGTGAGAAGGGATAAAACATTATAATAATTTACTTGGTTTGTTTTAAAGACTGTTGTTTATCCGTATTTTAGTTTAAGTATTTAGTGTAAGTTGCATAATTTTCTTTCTGCTTTCCTTTGTTTATAATCATTTTATAATTATCTTGGGTGCACCATCAAAAGGATCAGTGCCGCTGACCTGAAAGTACTGTGTGATAAATGTGAAAAAAGAAACATCGCATTTTCCAATTTGGGCGTAGAATCCGAATTTGATTGTTGATTGGTCCAGGGAGGGGTATTTTTCGAGATATGAGGGGTCAAAGGTTAAATTCGCCATATTTAAGAAAGGGGTCCTAAATGTGCAAGAGTTTACGAAAATAATGTTTTCAATGTAATTTAGGTCATATATTCGAGAAAAAATGACAGTTGGACAGGTGTAGGGTTTGTTCAAAAGTTATTGGGGTTAAACTTCAAATAAAATATAATCTGGGAAGTGGTATTACAGGTGTGTGTGATAAATACCAAAATAATGTTTTACAATGTAATTTTGTCGTAAATGTTTAAAACTTTAATATTAAGTACCTAAAAATTCATCCTCACTCTCCGACATTTCATCCTCTATGTCTACTTCTAAATTTGTCGTCAATTTCACTTTCACTGCCACTGTAACCTTCACTTCCTTCACTTGTTTCAGTAAGTAATTCGATCAGATCATCTGACATCACAGCATTTGTCCAAAGAATTTCGCTGTCAGCGGCCCACCCATGATTCTGTGGATTTGGAGCATCAATTATGGGGACACACAATTGCCTCCATAAACGGCAGACATAATTGGCTCTCTGTATGTGTAGATACAGGCATTCTTTACAGGGTGGTAAGAAGGAAAGGTCTACAAATTTACCACTTTTGTTATATTTTTCACAAAACAGATGT